AGTTTACCTGAATCTTCTCTATGGACATCTAGTCTTGAGGTAAAGACTTTGGGGCCAATAACTTAAATTACTTTGTCTTTCCAAAACATTTTCTTTATTTCTCTTGTGAATTTATTTCATTTTTTCCTCTTCATTGTTCATCATCATAGCTTTCTCCAGTTTAGTCCCAGAGTGGTGTCTTGTGATGAAAGTACTCATGGCATATTCAAGTTACCTATGCTTCCTCTTTTTGATCAGGCCTTTAGGCTTGAATTGTGCACTTTTTTTTTTTTTTTCCAGCATTGGAATATTTTTTCTGGCTCTTTTTTTTTGCATTTTCTTAAGTTTTTCAACATCTTTTTATAAATATAGGATGACCAGAACTGCACATAATGTTTCAACATCTGTGTCCCTGCAGTTATGTACAAATGTAAAATTATATCCGTATTTCCTCTGGCTGTTCCTCTTTTTTCACATTTAGTGCTTGTTTTAGCTACAACATTACAATAGGGACTCTAATGCAAATCCTTGCCCATAAGACCCAAGTCCTTCTCAGAGGTGCTGCCTTCCCAAGCCCCAGACTCTGTGGTGACCCTTGTCTTCCCCAGTCCTACATGCAGATTTTTGGTTTTTGTCTGTATTAAAACACATGTTCTTTGTATATCAGGCCCATATAATTTTGTACATGTATCCAGCCCTCACAAAAACATACCAGGTTTTATGCCGTCAGTAGTAATTTACATTGCCCTCTAGATTACCAACAGAAATACAGACTAGTATCATCACCAGCACTAATTTGCACAGATTTCTCTTGTAAACATTTGCATTATCATGTGATTTCACACTGAAAATGCTGGTTTAGATCTGCCAATTATTCAGTTCTTCACCTACTGCAGAACTGCTTCAGAGATTCTGTATTTTGCAATGCTACATGGTTTAATATTAAACATGGTTTTATATTAAATACTATTAAATATTAATACATGGTTTAATATTAAACCAAGTAGCATTCCGTAAGAGTTTTACATCTATACAATGCCTTCCATCAATGAACCATCATCAGACAATGAAACCTATTTGTTTAACATGGTTTATTTTTCTTTAAACCATCTTGACAAGCAGTATTACTCACCTGTTATTTCCTTATTACAGCTGAGTTAAAAGTTTCTTTAAACCTTCTTTTTCCCACCAAAAAATACAAATTGAAATGTACAAATATATTTTCTGAAATCGTGTTAATTTTCTCAAATTATTTCATCTGAAAACAAGTCTATCTATATATATAGGGGTACAAACAGAACCTGGAAAAAAAAAAAAAGTTTAAAAGTATTGGCTTGACATTTTTAAAATTGAATATTTCAATCTTTAAGTCTGAAATATTTAATTTCAAAATTTGCTTCAGCTTTATTGTAAAACATACTTGAACACCAAATAAAATATTTATTTTGGAGTCAAATAAAGCAATTTCTTCCATTTATTGTATTTTTTTAAAAAGTCTTATCAATCTAGTACAATTTAAAGAATGGAATTGCCAATGGATTAGGAAAGACTTTTAGTCACATATCTACCTTTATTGATAAATGCCATTTCATCTTCTGCATTTTCCTCCTAAAATTTCTGTCAAAAGAGAGAACATCTCATTATTTTTGTTTATAATTACCTATTTGCTTTCCTGAATACTGGCATAAAGTTAACATCTCCTCAGTTAACTGAAATTACCCTAAAACATTAAACTCTCTTAAGCATCTCTTAAATATAAAGCCAATATGCCAAAGATCACCTCAGATAGATCTTTGGAGCAGATGATTTTTAATAGCCTCTGTAGGTAAATTGCTCTGTAATACTCATGTGAGCAGCATATGCCTCCTTCCACTGCTTGTGAAGAGTCTCATGGAATGATGTATTCCCAACGTCACTATGTCTTTATTAGAAATTTTGTCATCTCTAAACACTGAAATTCCTATAGCATTCATGGGCCTTTTTTTTCTTTCATGATCCATCTATGGATTTCTACAATGGAAAGAAAGACAGGTGTTTAACAGACCCATTTATTTCCTTACGCCTTTATTTTCCTTACTGTTTTTCCACATTACTATACTTTGTGTCTACATCATCTTTTTCCTGCTGCATCTTATATATTGTTGCTATTATTTTATTCCTAATAACCTTTCTCCTTCCCTTTCTTGCTTGTGGAATTGAAGAGCTTTGATCCATACAGTAAAAGTCTTCTAAAAGTCTTCTAAAAAGCTTTATTTCCCACTATGGTTTTTTTGGGTTGTTTGTTTTTTTTTTTTTTCCTGGCTTTTCTTTCTGATCTGTGAAGTCTGTAAGAGCCCGTCTCCACACATAGTTAAAGCTGTCCTAGTCGTTATTTTGTGTAAAGTTATATTAAATATCATTTGCCTGAACACCCTAAACAAAAGCTTTTTATCTTATACTACTAGTATAGCTGCATGCAAGCACAAAGAGTTCAGACATGTAAAATGCTTGAGTTAAAAAGACAAGGTATGAGAACTATCTAATACTATTATATGAGAACTATATTATATGAGAACTATCTAATACTATCTAATACTATAGAACATACTAATCTCAAAGTTAATTCTTTTCATCATATTAGCTTTCAGTGGTGATGATTTTGGTTTTTGCCTGAGCATGTATTATTTAAGGAACTCATCACAGTCATTTAGGATGCCGTCACCATTCTGTACCCAGTCCTGTCCCCTTGCACTCTTGTGCACAGACACAGCTGCACAACCTGTGGTCACATCCACTCTTGTGTTTGGGCATTGCTTAATGTGCCACTGGCATGGGAGTATGCAGCCAGCCTGAGAGCATGCTATAAAAAATAGGAGTGTTGCCTCTCAAGTGTGATTTAATTGCAGAGAGGAAGAGCACTCGAACAAAAGCTAACTTTATTGACACTGGTGGGGAAAGCCCTATTCTGTGGAGCTGAGTGTGTAAATGGTGGTTAAAGTAACCTCTAACAAGGAGATTCTTAGTACTTAAATAATGGGATCATGGGGTCATATGAAATCCCCTCTAAGAAGGCAGACTCTTTATATAAATCATGGGAGCATAATCTCTCCAAAAAGCACAAATAACAAAGAGGGCTCAGTATATAGATGGTGGGACCACAGGTCACTCAAGTTTAAGTCCCCTCTAAAAAAGGGGAATTCAATACCTAAATACTGAGAGAACAGTGTCATTGTGTACCATCATAACAATAAGGAAATTATTTTTAAGATGGAAAAAAAAAACCCTTTTGCTCCTCTGTCATTAATGCTGTGACATGCATTTCTATGCATATATACAGCAAGAACTGCCAAGCCCACTCCGAGAGGCTGCCGGAGACATTGCGATATTATTAGCTTCCTTCCCTGTGTGAAGATGTGTCCTTTTACCCAGGACTTACATCAGGCATGCGGTGTCCACACCGTCTCACTGCTCCCCTCCCGCTTCACGTTGTCCCTCCCGGCTCGTATCGCATCCCTGTCCCTCTGCACTGTGTTCACAACCTTTTACAAATGGTCCTGACTCCATCATGTGGCAGCTTTTGTTTGGTCTGAAATACTGCTGGCTGCTCTGACCCAAGGCAAAAGCACTTTCAGAGCCTTCTCAGGACCACCTGGAGGCAACATGTTTTTTCCTGGTGTGATGCATGGAGGCAGGCACTGCAGAAAAAAATGGTAGCTGAATGGGATGTGGAGGGAGAGGTGGCCTTCCCACAGCATTTGTTTAAAATCAGCCATCCGTTCCCTAGACAGCAGGTCAGAGACCTCGTGTGTAGGTGCCATTTCTACAGGTAGAACACATTCTATATAACTTCTACACATTACGGGCCAAGCTGCAAGGTGGCATTAAGGGAAGCCTGTTCTTTCAAGAAACCATGGACCACTGGGACCTCGGTCCTGGATCTTTCCAAATGATGGTATGAAGACACTGTGGAGTGCTGTGCATCCCAGGTCTGAACCCATCCAGTGCATTTCTTTGGAGAGCTCAAGCCTGGTTTTAGTTTAGCTCTTGTCTTATCCTGTGAATCATCCTGCTATGCAGACTCACTTCGAAGTGAGAGAGCATTTATACTAAATTTGAAACATTATAATGTAAGAATCAGATTATACACAAATATCCTCCCATAAAATAAAGGGTGTTTTATTGCATGTTCACGGGCAAAACATTTTATTACATTTTTACATGTAATACAGTCATGTCCACATCTGTATGTTGCACTTAGGGGGAGAAAAGCTCCCATTCTGAATGTGCACACATACATCTTGAACTTGAATGGCCCCACTTACAGAGATATAAATCCCACTGAGGAGCACAAGTTCTGACAGGTCTTTTTTTGTATTCTGCCTAGAAGAGGCACATCTGCATGGTGTAAGATCAGAGGGATGTCTTTTGTCTCAAACAGAAGTTACATTGGTGTAACTGAGAATGAAATCCCTCTCTGTGCTTAATAGGGCACTGTGTCATTTGGACTACAGGTGTACATGTATTTCTGATAAAAGTGTTGTCTTGGCTTACCTCAACAAAGTCAACTGCAGACAAAAGCAAAAGTGTCCATTGCTAAAATAATACTGGGTCATACTTTGATCAGATAGCAGGTTTGCACAATTCCAGTGAAATAGTAATAATAATAACAATATATGTAGATGCATATATGGAGTGAATGTATGTACGTATATATATAAATGGTATTTACATACTCTTCAAATCTATGTTTCTAAAAGGAGACTGATCTGTCAGCCCAAGATGCTGGGAACCTCTGAAAATACAGGCCACACACATACTTACTAGATTTCTAGTGCTTTCTGTGGCCTGATCCTGAATACACTGAAATCAAGAGCAAAATTCTCAGTGCCTTCCCGAGTATAGAATCAGGCCTGCTCTGCAACCACAGTTGAAATATTTGTGTAAGCTTTGCTGGAGCAGGAAAAAAAAAGTGGCAGGCCGTCTGTGTGGGGGTGAATTTTCAAGTTAACTCCACAGTCACAGGAAAAAGCACTGTTCCGGTTCAGGAAAGAGAAAATGCAGGCTTTGGTCCAGCATGCAAGCGTGTGGGTAGCATCTCAGGGTGTCAGTCCTCACAGTGACTTCAGCAGACATCTCCAGATACTTAGAGTTAAGGTATGTGTTTAAGTATTCTTTTGGATGGGGACTAATTACTGCTGGTTTAAATCACATGAAATCAGTGATTAAAGAGATGATAAGGGGAACTAACAGCCTGGTTCTACTTCAACATCATTTTTCATTTTCATTATATTCCATGTTTTCTGTGATTGTGATCAATTCTTGCAAGTTTTTGAAAAAAATAACTTTCCATAGGTGTTTTCAGTGTAGCTACAGGCTTTTCTATGCCTCTGGAGCTGTTTAAGTCAGTAAAACCCTGAGGAAGGCACATAGTTGCCAGGATCAGGATTGTGTGTTGGTAGAAACTTTTCTTTTTACCCTTTAAAAGCAGCTTATAGCACAATTTTGGAGCTGGGTTTGATTGCGTGTCAGAAAGGTGAACCAACGCTGTTCATTCAGCCCCTATTTCTGCTCCTGGAACAAGCCACCTTGTCATGATGTGAGAAGTTATGGCACCAATGATTTTAGAGTGATGAGATGCAAAAGCTGAGAGGATGCAGAGCTGAGCCTCTGATCCAGACAGCTGCAGAAATTGCTTCTATAGCACTGAGTTGCCCATGTCTCCAAGAGGTGACCAAGTTTATGAGCTTACTTTTCACTGTCCACCATAGGCTCAGTCTCCAGTCTCAGCCTGAGAGTGCATGAAACACATCTCTTGGCATTCCAGAGCTGTGGAATCCAACACCACCCTCCACCCCAAAAGAAGTTTTTATATCAAATTCCCTCAGAAGTTTTAAAATGTTGTTTGGGGTCTTTTAGTCTTCTGTTTTCAATACTTGTATTTTTTTGGCATGTGGCACTTATATTGTTCCAAACTTACTTGTTAGAAGGACCCGCCTGTGATGTACATAAAGGGCACTATATGAATTAACCTAAGTCGTAAATAATTTTAAAAAATCACATTTGCTTGTTGAGGCCAAATCAAATTGAAGAGGGGCTTATAGTAAAATAAACACAGGGGGATGAGGGGAGAGCCATGTTCATCCCACAGGAGGCCATTACCAGTTATCACCACCAGCCTGTGAGATACCAAGACCCACCACCCCTGTTTTACGAGCAGAGGAGCAACTGCCTCCAACTTTGGGCTCCCAAGTGACTTCTTGGCCACACTCACAGGGTGGGGTCAGGGCAATTGAAGGTACAAGGAGCCCACCCTTGGCAGTGTTGGGAGAGAGGGAGCATGTTGGCGCGAGTCCTCCTGCCTCTCCCAATTGGATGTGCAACTTTCAGGCATAAAACTATTGTTTAGCTTGCTGGGCCTTCCACAGCAGCTGGGCCAAGCTTCCTGCTAGGAGCCAGGATCTGCAACCTTATGAAAGTTTCAGGGCCCGGCAGGCTGTCGGTATTTTCAGCTGGATCGAGCCCAGAACAATTTTATTTTCATCAGAAATGTTCCCTGGCCCTACCACATGTGCAAGCCTATATGAAACCACCAAGAAGGCTTCCTCCCCCAGCTATCTTATTTAGCTGAAATTCAGCTGCCCAGCAGAACTGTTTCTTATCCAAGCCCTTAGAGACAGGAGAGGAGTGTAGAGATTTAATTATAATCTTTCTCTCTCTCCACCTCCCACAGTACATTAATGCTTTTCATTAGCCAAAGCCAAAACCTTGCTTTATAAGCTGCGAGAGCTGTCTTTTAAAAATATGTCCAGTATTAAGAATTCTGAATGGCAGTAACAGCAGTGTAACCCCTCATCCACAGGTGTGGGAGATTCGCTGGAGGATTGCTGGTGGAGAGGCGAGTTTTACTTGAAAGACATCTGATTCCTATTTCTGTCCATTGGCTGATTACCCCTCACATTACAGCACTTCTGTGCCCACTGACAATTTCACATACACGTCCAAATGAATGAGAGAAAATCCTTGACATCCAGGAGCTCTGGATGATTTTTATAAGTATCCAGATGTTTAGACTTTTATCTGAAGCTTATCCAAAAAATATGAGGCCACTTCTAGCAGCAGCCTGACAAATATCCACAGCCATTTATTCTGTGTGTAGGTCTAGAGCATACATTCAAATGTACGTATCACTGGAGCAGGTACATCTGTTGACCTCAGTGGCATAGAAATGCAAGTAAATCAAGAATGACATTTTCAGCTGACAATTATAATGTGATTTGGGTGACACAACTAAGTCAGTATCTTACATTGACGGGAAGGTTCTAGGGAAATATAAGACACTGATTTAATTGTCATTGCCTTACAGAATACATAAAGCTGATTTTCATCTTTGAAAAATTAGCGTTTATTTCCAGTACTTCCCCAGAAGGAGACTACCCAGAGGTCAGAGAGCACTCCAAGAAAGATGGAGACTGTTCCCTCACTATGACTGATTTTTCTATTCTGTTTCTTTTTTAAACAAAATATCAATATTTTCCTCATTCCCTTGTCATCTGACAGTTTTAATGATATAAATAAGCAACTGGACCTCAGCAAATTGCTAAAGTGGCTTCAGGATTATTTGGGGTTTTTTAATCAGTAGCCCTTGGAAGTTTCAAGTGGGCAGCTCTGTCGTGCTGGCGCTGTGTAAACACATAGTGTGGTAGGAAATTGTCATGTGTGAAGAGCTGACAGCCTGCTTGGGGGGAAGAACACAACAAGCAGCATAACAAATACCAGCCTGGTCAATAAAGGACAAGTGAAAGGGCCATGGGATTACATGGATTACAGTTGTTGGTTACACAGATTAACCAGGCAATTAAAGGCAGCAGGGATAATAAATATCTTTCCAAGAGAAGGGGCTGCTATTGGGCTGCAGGTTGAAGTTAGCTGTTCTAATTGTAAACCATTTTTGCCATAAACACAGAAGTGCAAAAGCTGCAGGAGAGGGAGAAAGCCCTGGAAGCAGTCCCACAAACCAGCCATGCTTTCCTTGATTCCTCAAGCAATTTTACACAGTTGATTGGGGTCTTTTTTATGTGCATTTTGATGGTTTCTTATCTTACACTTTAATAGGAAATCTGCTGAATGTCTAAAATGCCTTTTGGCAGTCAGACCTTTTGTTGCTGATCTCTGTGACTTAAAAACAGTTTAACTTATCAAGAAGCTTTGGTGTAGATCTGGTGTAGTGGATAGGTTCATTTTTAAATGCTTTCTTTTGGATCACTTTTAATCATCACTTACATTGCATATGGCTGTTTATGCATTGACAGGTTGATGGGGACTTTAATGTACATAAAACTTTCTCTGTCAGGACTTATGCCTCTCTGTCAGATTTTATCCTGCAGTAGAGAGGGTTCATGTACAGTTGCTGACAGATAAAATAAGCTCCTCCAGCAGCTGCAGCTCTGCCTCCCACAGATTTTTTTTCTGCTCTGATCCTGTGTCCCCAGCTAAGTGCTGAGCAAGCACAGGCGGCACCATGGGACTGTGCTGGGATGGGCAGGAGAACGGCGCCAGATCTGCAAGAGGGAGGATGACTTAGCCCAACCACAGCCATGTCCTGTAAGTCCGATGATACCAAGCCCTGCGATGTTTGGCGTCTTTCTTTAGCCACAGCTGCAGGAGATGGGCAGCAGCAAGAAAAACCTTATTCTATTCTAAACAAAAGTGAATTTCCAGACTGGATTCCTGCAAACAAAACCTGCAAATCAAGAAACTTGCTTTAAAAAAAAAAAAAAAAGGTTTAAATTCACAAATCACATGAAAACTGAAAAAGCTCATGAATTTTAGGTCTGTTCCATGATCTTAAGGAGTGAAATCATGAATCTGAAACTCTTGGGTTTGAGTATGAGGACATGTCCTGTGCAGTTTGGAAGGCAAACACTAAGGTTTTTCACAAGCCTGGTGCAATCACAGATTTGAGGTATGCACATATTATATCTAACGTGAAAAGGTGCCCAGCATCTGTCATTCCCGCAGAAGCCAATGGAAACTGCAAACACTCAGCTCTGAAGGATCAGGCCTTTAATCATTAATATGTTTCCAGATCTATAAAAAAATGTTTCCTAAGATACTTTATTTCTGCAAGAAATTCCCTGTTGGCAAGAGAGTTTTCATAGCTCCTTAAAGACCTATAAGGAACTGTGGAAGAAATAAAGTGGGGCTTTACTTATGGAAATCAGACCTACTGGAGAGCAACTGGAAATGTTTTTTATGAGTCTTTATAATGGAACTACAGTAGCAGTTCCATGTTGATTTTTATTCTAAGACCCTATATTTTTTTCTTCTTTCTTAAGCCAAATTTTTTCCCACCTGAAACTTCACGTGTGGTCTCTTGGCAAAGAAGAATATTTTTGGAAAGTTTAAGGCTGATCTGATAAGCCTTTTTTAAGTAAGGAGATTTGAAAACATAGAGATATTTTACTTTTAAAAAATCTTCAAACCTTTCCTTATTCATTTAGAAGTTGAAAACCGTTTATAGTAAAAAAATTCCATTTTGCTTTTATATTTGCCCTTAATGAGATACAGCCCATGAACATATTTTTAGTCATTTCAGTGGTACTAAATTTGGGGTTTTATTAAGTTTTCTGCAAAGGTAACTTTGAAAATTAGAATTAAAATAACATAAAATATAAGAGATTATGTTGATAGAAGATTAAAATATTACACATTGGTGTGTCAACCAGAATGAAGATATGAAACAGTAGAGACAACAAAGTTTACTGTATGCTAGAATCTGTGAAATAATTAAGGTGTTCCTGTGTATTAAAATTATCCAGCCCTCCTTTTGTATTGATGATAAGCATTTTTGTAAATAATTTGCTCCAAGTCAGTTTAACCCAAACTATTGTACATGTCTAACAACTGGTTTCCAGTAGTAGTGGAGAACTGGCATGTTCCCTCACTGACTTGTTACACTAGTAGCAGCTCTTGTAGGGGCAAAATAAGAAAAGGTTAGTTTTGGTGAGAGCACCATACTGAATTTTTGCACAGACACAACAAAGTGGACAAAAACTGAAGTGACCCATAGATGGCACAGTTCTGTAGTGATAGTTTGAGCAACCTCGAGTATCTTTGAAGAGAGTTCTGGGGCAGAGAAACTTCCTTACTGGACA